GTTTAACCAAAGTATTTGGAGAGGGAGGCCATTCACCATCTCTATGATATATATACAATTAACTTAATCATTTGTTTTATGTTTTTTAAAATTAATGATAAAGTTTAACTCAACCCAATTCATACGTAACTCCTATGTAACTTTTGAAATTGTCGAGTAAGAAATAATAAAGGTCAAAGTAATGTGATATTGCTCAAAAGTTTTACATTTTTTTCTGCTTTTGGCCCATGGACTGAAGTGCGAGTGATTGACATATTTGAAAAGATTGTAGCGTAGCTTAGAAGGTAAAAACAATTCCGAGAAACTTAAGCATTAGGGATAAAAAATAGTTATAACGTATCGGATGGATTTGACAAATTGAAATATCTGACTATTAAGCAATCTCAATGTTTTTCGTCCACGACAGGGTTGAGCTATTCTTCACTTGATTCACTAAAATTATGTGTTTAGATGGTTTTAATCTATTTTTCTATGTAACATAATATATACAATATAGGCTTTGGGGAAAATGCCTAGAAAATCAAGAAAAAGAAAATGCAAAATAGACAAATTACTGTGTCATCGAGGAAAAGCTTGACGCATTTCCATGGCGTGAATTTAAGCTTTTTGCGTCCACACAACAAGTCTTCCTTCTTTTGAATAATTATAGAATTAACTCCATCATTTCATTTCTTCTACTTATTTTATTACTGATTATTAGTAATAATGCAAAGCAATTTTGTCGTCTAAATACTTAAGATTAAGCCCCAACCTCCTCACAAAGCAACAACAGCATTATCAGTCATTCAAAGGCAGTGTTACTGAGTCTTATCATTAGCATTATCAGTGTCCCTACCTATAGGTGTGAGCATTCCAAAGTGATTGATATGGACAAATTACCATGTCTTAGAGGACAATAATTCAAGCTTTTTGCATCAACAAAACAAGTCTTCCTCAATCCTCCTTTTCAATAAATTAGCAACATTATCTTAATATTTTTATTTTTTTTTTCATTTACCTTCTTGATAAATTTCAACAATATATTTTAATTTGTTTGTCCAGATTAGTCAAGTTAACAACAAAGTATTTCAAATTGTATTGTAGTAAATGTTGTAAAGAACATGGCCACAAAGCAATAGGATTAGAGATAATTAAGCCCAATTTTATTCAGGACGCACCAAACTATGGTAATTACACACATGCAAATGCAATGCTACATTACTTGTGAGGATCGCCGTGAGTTTCGACATTATAGATGGTAGAGCCCGTTGACTTTGTTTTGACTAAAAGAACTTCGGCTTTTTTTGTTAGGCTGAAAGTTTCCATAGGGCCTAGCTACCTTGTAATAATAATAATAATAATAAATAAATAAATACAGCAAGGAGGGAGACAGAAACCTTACCTCCAAAATTACATGAGCAAGAAAAGATAAAATTCCTAAAATAGGGATTACCTCCTTTGCAATTACTGCTAGTGCGAAAGGTAAGTAATTTACCTGTGTACAAGGGTCTATGGTAACTTTTGAAAAAATAAGACAATATGAGAAACTGTAATAGTAAAAAATAAGAGTACTACTCATATACATTTATTTGAATTTAACATAAGATAAACCAACTTTGTCTAATCTCAAGATTCGGCGTAGATTCCCAGAAGCCTTTGTAAAAACGTGAAGATTTTGAAGCTCATGTTCCAAGTTACCTAATAAATCAACTGTCTGATTACCTTCTCGGTGGATATGAGTCACCCTGTAAGAGAATTGAATGAACAGGTTTTGAACAGATGCCAAAAGGTTCCTACTATCGTGAGATCCTTGATATCCCTTTTTCAGCATTTGGATCACCACCATAGCATCTATTTCAATCCAAATCCGCAAAATACCAAAATTGCAACATAAAATAAGTCCTCTGTGTAAGGCTAGTAGCTCCGCATGAATGGAATTTTCAGCAATGGCATTATGCAACTTACATATTCTGCTTCTATTTTCATATTTAGCATTGAAGTGGAAGGTTCCAAGCTTGTGACAGTGATGTACTTGTGCAAGTGGTCATTACTTTTTGATCTTAGAAATGAATTTTCTAATTCAAGAAAAAGGTTATACAAAATGCTTCTTAGTTACCAATTATCTTTATCACATAGTCGAAAGTTACAAATGGTTATAAGCAAGCAATGGAGAGGGCTATATATATATATATATGTATATATAGTTCAAGATACCTGCAAGTTGAAAATACATACCATAATCGAAATTCAAAATTAGAATATGACTAATACAACTTATATTAGTAACATACCAATCCAACAAACTACAAGGGAATCACCTCAACCTCAAAGCAACTGAGAATAGGTCTAATATAGGAGACCAACAAATTAAGAAAGTCCACAACACTATATATATATATATATATATATATATATATATATATATATATATATAATGATCATACAATCCATATCACCATGCTAGAAAAATCTACTTTCTTGCCAAGATCCTAATTTCCCAAACTTTCTATGGAAGAAATTAATCTTGGAAGTTGGCACATACCCTGCCTGGTAATATTTTTCAAACCATGTCAAATAAGGATCTTTTTTTTTTTTTGCTTAGCTATTCATTATAATTAATTAGTAGGTATAAAAGAAGGCCTGTAAGGCATAGGAACAGCAACTGCAAGCAACAGATGAAAGGTACTCCCTGTAATGATCCAAGTTCAACCACTAGCTCAGTAACTTTTTGGGCCTAAATCACGTGGCTCTCAAAAGCTTAAGCTCAAGTTACTAATAGTAGTAGACTTGGATTGTTATATAGGTCTTAACAATCATATTCACATCAGATGTAAGATATTGGGTATCACAATCCCACCCACTCAAATCTTTGATGTTCTCATCAAAGCCATACATCACATCCACAGGACTAAGATCTCACCAAAGCAATGTGAAAGCTCACATCGAACTGGTGCAGTCTCTAATACCATTTGTAACAACTCAAGTTCAACCACTGACCTAGCAACTTTTTGGACCTAAACCACATGACCTTCAAAAGCTTAAGCTCAAGTTACTAATAATAGTAGACTTGGATTGTTATATAGATCTTAACAATCATATTCACATCAGATGTAGAATATTGAGTATCACACTCCCTGTTACAAATAACATAAGCAAAAGAAAAAACTTGACAGCCCCTGCGTACAAAATGAACCAAAAGACAGTGCAACGAAGCGTAACCATACGATGATGAATGAAACAGGGTGTGGTAATCCATAATCAAAAAGAAAGAATTGCAGGAGAGGTCAAAATCAATAAACCATTGAAGTTAAGTCACCACCAGGCAAAAAATGATGTGTTATTATTGACACCATACTTTGCCAAGGAATCAGTAAAACCATTGCCTTCTCTAAAGATATGCTTAAAAGAATCCGTATCTAGCATAACACGAAGAGAGTCTAATTCATTAAAAATACTCCATTTGTCCCACAGTTGTTTTTCAACTAAGTTAATCCATGAGAGAGCAATGCATGAATCAGATTCAATGATTAAAGGAGATGATGCATAAAGGGAAGCAGCAAAGAGTTTTAGAGCCTTTAGAATGGTCATTAGGTCTGCATAGTTTGAGTCATGTAAGCTAAGATGGTAGAAGAATAAGCCAACAATATTACCATCCAAATCTCGAAGAACGCCACCACAACTAGCAAGTCCTGGCTTGCCTTTGGCCGAGCCGTCAACATTAAATTTGAATTTACGAGTGGTGGATGGAGACCATAAAGTGCTCACACGGTGGTGATGTGATGATTTCCTTATCAAAGAAAGACGTGGGTTGGTCCACCAGCCCAAATCATCAATGGCATTGACACCTTCACAAGCTCGTATCCAAAACATTGAGGTCAAATAAAGATCTTGAATTTGAAAAAGAAAACAACAATAATTTTCTTTGAACTATTAACACTCACCTAAGAGCATTAGCTGTATTATTTTCTTCCTCCACCTTTGCGGATTTTTCCTCTAATATCGTGTTTCTGTTGACCTCTCTCAATGATCCTAACCAACCATCATGGCTTTCCAGTTGTGAACACAATGTATCCCATGCTCAACCCAAACACTAGCCCACATCCATACCCCATCAATATAGAAAATTTCCAAGTCACAGAATCACCATCTTCATCAAACATTGTTGGCTGTGGTTCCAAATTATGCCCACCACTATAGTCTTTTGATAAAGGAAGTTCACATAAACCCATGTTTCCATTGTGGAAATCATTTGTGAAAGTATCAAATTGTTTGCCTCAAGGAATGAGTCCCATGAAATTATTCCAAGAAAAGTTTAATACCTCTAAAAATATAAGATTTACTAATTCTGCTTCTTTTTTGATATTCTTTAATAATTTTGAAGGAAAAGCACTTCACATAATCCCTTTTCTGGATGTTTCCATATGAAAAATCTATCAAGCTTTCAACTTCTGTAATATGTGCTTTCTAATTTGCGGCAAATATATACATATATAAAGTATCAAATAGTATCTCACTTTGATATTTCAAAGTGCTTTGCCAATGCTATCACCAAAATTATTGTGATAAAGCATTTACAATCATCAAATTCGGACACAAAAAAGAGGCAAAAATGAAGGATATAAGCAAGTATCAAATGCTTATAAGTACTTTATATACATATATAAAATATCAAATGTATTTTCTTATTCCGAAAAAAGGTTATGCAAAATGCTTATAAGTTTTATCAATCTTTACCACATAATGGAAAGTTGCAGATGGTTATAAGCAAGCAATGGAGAAGGATATATAGATCAAGATATCAGCAAGTTGAAAATTACACACTATAATCAAAAATTCAGAATTAGAATACAACTAATACAACTGATATTAGTAATATATCAACCCAACAAACTGAAAAGAAATCACCTCAACCAAAAAGCAACAAAGAATAGGTCTAACATAGAAGACAGAAATAACTTCAAAAAGTCCACAACAATATATGTAATGATCGTAGAATCCATACCATCAGGATTGAAAAATCTCTTTTCTTGTCAAGATCCTTTTTTTGCCAAATTGTATGTGGAAGAAATTAACCATGGAAGTTGGCACATACCCGACCTGGCAATATTTGTTAAAACTTGTCAAACCGAGATCGTGAATTTAAATAAAAAACAACAGTTATTTTGTTAGAATTATTAAAACTCACCTAAGAGCATTAGCTGTATTATTTTCTTCCTCCACTTCTTCGGATTTTCCCCCTAATAACATATTTTTGTTGACCTCTCTCAATGATCCTAACTAACCACCATGGTTTTCCAGTTGCAAACACAATGTATCCCATGCTCAATCCACAAACCAGCCCACATCCATACCCCATCAATATAGAAAATTTCCAATTCACAGCATCACCATCTTCATCAAACTTTGTTGGTTGTGGTTCTAAATTTCGCTGATTACTACATTCCTTTGATAAAGGAAGTCCACACAAACCCAAGTTTCCAATGTAGGAATCATTTGTGAAAGTGTCTAATTGTTTGCCTTGAGGGATGAGTCCCGTGAGATTATTCCAAGAAAGGTTTAATACCTCTAAGAATATAAGATTTACTAATTCTACTGGAATTTTTCCTTCAAGCTTGTTTGATGAGAGATCCAATGATTCAAGTGCTGACAAATTCCCTAATAATGATGGGATAGGACCCATTAAACTATTGTGAGAGAGATTAAGGGCAATAAGTGTATGAAGTTCTCCAAGCATTACGGGAATATGTCCGTTGAATCGATTATTTGAAAAGTCAATAATCGTCAAAGCGGTTAAGATTCTTTCAAATCGCATCTCCAACCCTTTTGTTGTAATAACTAAAGACTCATAAAAATATTCAACTTGATCAGTCCCAATGTACATCATGTACTCTAAGTCACCTTTGTTTTCACTCCCACTTCTCATACCATGTAGATTTTCCAAAAATTTCGTTGGCAAATGGCCATTGAAGTCATTGTGAGAGAGATCAATGATTCGCAAATTTGAGAAGGAAAATCTACCCTCAAAGTCATCAAGTTGACCATAGAATCCATTACCTCGCAAGACAAGAACTTTTAGATCCAAATTTCTTAACCAATTCGGAAAGGGATCATTTAAGTTGTTGTTCCCTGCATCTAAAAGTTCTAATTCTGAGCAATTAACCAAAGAGCGTGGTAAGGACCCTTCTAGCTGGTTATGATTGATGGAAAAACTTCTCAACAAACAAGTTTTATGAAAATCTCCAGGTATTTTACCATGAAATTTATTCATGTTTAGATCCACAAATTTAACAGAGTTGCTTAAGTTTCCAAGACATTGTGGAATAATTCCATGAAAATTATTCTTTGCCAACGTGAGATAATATTGTAGTGAACTCATATTGCAAACTGATGAAGAGATTTCTCCAATTAAATTATTGTGTGCAACAGTTACGCCGCGCAATGAAAGTGGTAGAGCTGGAAGTTGACCTTGGAGCAAATTTGAACAGAGATCAGGAATTTGAATATTCTTTAGGAAAAGTTGCTCTATAAAATTGTAAACATACGATTCTTGCTCAGAAAATTATACTTTTACTTCAGCTTGCGCAGCATCTAGCCACTTGATGGTGCTTGATTAGACCAAGGAGTATCCATATCACAACTTATATTGAGAAAATTGTAATGGACATTAATAATTTTTGTGTAAAAACTATGACAAATAAGTTGTTCCCCCTACCTTTTCTTTTTTGTGTCATTAACATATGATTTTTTCCATTTGATTCTAGTCTAATAGATAGAAACCCTCTAGTAACTAATTAACAAGTTGATGGCTAAAATACTAACTTGACACTTAATTTCATCTTTCTACTATCTCGTCTTTCTTTTTTTTCTTTTCAATTGTATTTTTATATTGATGAATGAGAATATTGCTTAAAAGCTTAAAAAGATCTCTAATATGCACAAATTAGATAAAAAGGAGAAGAAAGATTACCTGTTAAGTTGTTAAAGCTCAAATCAAGATACTCAAGAAAAGGCAAGCTTGCGATTGTTGATGGAATTTCACCTGAGAAATCGAATTCACCCTTTAGAAGTCAAAATTTCCCTACTAAGTTTTAATGCAATATATCTTTAAGAGGAAAAAGGTGAAGCATGCCCTCTACTTCACGTTTAAACTATCCTCTTGTCATCCATGACAAGGTTGAACTATCCTTCAGTGACTAAAATTATGAATATGTTGAGCAAAATGGACAAATGGCCTTATCACCCACATGCAATTATACTATATTTGAAATTTAATCTCTTCTTTTAAATCAAATTTCCAAGTTAAACTCATATGAAAACTAAAACCATAAATTTGAACTTAGAAATAAAAACAAATTGCCAACTAATCATTTTAATTTGTCTAAAAGAAGATTCACATTGAGCATACCTGTTAGGTTGTTCTCATAGAGATACAAGTAGCTTAATTTAGTCAAATTCTCAATTTCTTGAGGCACACTTCCCTCCAAGGCATTGTGCGATAAAGATAAATATCCTAACTGTTGGCACTTGAATAGAGATAATGGAAGTTGACCTACAATGAGATTATTAGTATGAGAACTAATATTTTCAATAAAAATATATTGATCCTAATGATTGAAGGTAGGAATTTATATGCTAAGAGAGCTATATCCCTTTTTATATATAGTTTAAAAAAAAAATTCCATTGTTAAGATTATATTTGGGTTTTAGGTAAATTGAGAAAGAAAATGCAATTAATTTGTTGAATCATTAAGTGTTGGTTAATGCTTATTCTTTAAATGCTAAGTACATGCATGTTTTGAAAGACATGATTATGAATGTGTTGAGCAAAATGGACAAATGGCCTTATCACTCACATTTATATTACATTTGAAACTTATCTCCTTTTAAATTCGAGTTTTCAGGTTCAACCTCAATGAAAACTAGAATCATATATTTGAACTCCAAAAAAAAAAATTGCCAACTAATCATATTATTTGTCTAAAGGAATGGTCCACATTAAGCATACCTATTAGGTAGTTATAATCAAGAAGCAACCCTGTTAATCTAGTCAAATTCCCGATTTCTTGAGGAACACTTCCCTCCAAGGCATTGTGAGATAAATATAAATGTTCCAACTCTTGGCACTTGAATAGAGCGAATGGAAGTTGACCTACAATGAGATTATTAGTATGGAAATCAATATTTGCAATAAAGATATATTGATCTTAAGGATTGAAGGTAGGAATTTCTATGCAAAGAGCTTTTTATAAAGTTAAAATATCTTTTCCAGTTTCTATGCAATAAAGACATACTCATCTTTCTACTGCCTCTCGTCTCATTTTTTTTTTTATTTTCAATTGTGAATGTGTAATTAATTACAATACTTAGCCTTTTGATGGTTTGATTTTGTATTTTTATAAATTATTTAAATGCTTAATAAAATCTCCGATATGCACAAATTGAATTAAAATAAGAAGCAAAAGTACCGTCAAGCTGTTAAAGCTCAACTCAAACAACTCTAGAAAAGGCAAAGTTCCAATTATTGACGAAATTTTACTTGAGAAAATGAGTTCACCTCTTAAAATTCAAAATTTTCCTACTAACATTTGTTGCAATAAATAGGCCACTTTTCTTGTCATTTCTTGAATTTCGTAATTAGTATATTAATATATAAAAACATTTTTTAAATAAAAATTCAACAAACCTTAACAAGTGCTTATAGGCAACTCTTAACAAAATCTTTTTTTTTTTTGAATGCATAACTAATTAAAATAAAAATAAAATTTCCAATCCAAGTTATTTTTTCTTAATGGATATTTAACAAATCCAGTGATTTGTAAACAAATTAAGAAAGTCATGATTTCATGAGTTTTATCACCCAAAACTCATCCACATTTATATTACATTTGAAATTTAAGTCTCTTCTTTTAAATTCAAGTTTTCAAGTTCAACCTAAATGAAAACTATAATTATAAAAACAAATTGCCAACTAATCGTTTTAATTTGTCTAAAGGAAGGTCAACATTAAGCATACCTGTTAGGATGTTTTCAAAGAGATACAAATAGCTTAATCTAGTCAAATTTGCAATTTCTTGAGGTACTCTTCCCTCCAAGGCATTGTGAGATAAAGATAAATGTCCTAACTCTTGGCACTTGAATAGAGTTGATGGAAGTCGACCTGCAAAGATATTATTAGTATTGAAATCAATTTTTTTAATAAAGATATATTGATCTTCAGGATTGAAGGTAGAAATTTATATTCTAAGAGAGCTATATTGCTTTTTATATATAGTTAAAACTTCTTTTCCATTGTTAAGATTATATTTAGGGTTGAGCCAAATTAAAAAAGAAACATTGCAATTTATTTGTTGAATCATTGTGTTGGGTGATGCTTATTCTTTAAATACTAAGTACACTCATGTTTCGAAAGACATCGTTATGAATTCATTGGGCCAAATGGTCAAATGGCCTTATCACATGTACTTATATTACATTTGAAATTTATATCTCCTTTTAAATTTAAGTCAATGAAAACCAGAATCATAAATCTAAATCACGAATAAAAATAAATTGTCCACTAATCGTTAATTTGTCTAAAAGAAGGCTGATATTAAGCATACCTGTTAAGTTGTTATGATCAAGGTACAACAATCTTAATCTAGTCAAATTCCCGATTTCTTGAGGTATGCTTCCCTCCAAGGCATTATTAGATAACAATAAAATTTCTAACTCTCGGCACTCGAATAGAGCTAATGGAATTTGACCTGCAATGAGATTATTAGTATGGAAATCAATATTTTCAATAAAGATATATATTAATCATAAGGATGGAAGGTTAGAAATTTATATGCTGAGAAAGCTATATCTCTTTTTATATACATTCAGAACTTCTTTTCCATTGTTAAGATTATATTTGGGTCAAGGCAAATTAAGAAAGAAACAATGCAATTAATTTGTTGAATCATTAATTATGTTGGTTGATGCTTATTCATTAAATACTAGTCCATGCATGTTTGGAAAGACATGATTATGAATACGCTTGAACAAAATGGACAAATGGCCTTATCATTCACATTTATATTACATTTCAAATTTATATCTCTTCTTTTAAATTTGAGTTTTCAAGTTCAACTTCAACAAAAACTATAATCATAAATCTAAACTCATGACTAAAATTCAATGCACTTGTTAACTAAATCTTTTTCTTCTTTAATGCATAACTAATTAACATAAAAGTATAAACTTCCAATCTAAGTTATTTTTTTCATGAATTTTTTCTAATAAAGATCTAACAAATTCGATGAATTCCAAAATAATTAAGAAAGTCATGTTTCCATTAGTTTTATCACCCACATTTATATGTAATTTGAAATTTAAATCTCTTCTTTTAAATTCAAAGTTTTCAAGTTCAACCAAAATTTGAACTAAAATCATAAATATGAACTCACAAATAAAAATAAATTGCCAACAAAATCATTTTAATTTTTCTAAAGAAAGGTTCACATTAAGCATACCTGTTAGGTTGTTACCATCAAGATACAAATTTCTTAATCTAGTCAAATTCCCAATTTCTTGAGGCACACTTCCCTCCAAGACATTGTGAGTTAAAGATAAAAATTCTAACTCTTTGCATTTGAATAGAGCCATTGGAAATTGACCTATAACAAGATTATTAGTGTTGAAATCAATATTTGTAATAAAAATTGCTGAGAAGAAAATATTTGCAATAAAAATTTATTGATGACAGAGAAAGCTGATTATTATACAACCTGAAAGCTGATTATTATCCAAATATAACCTTTTCAAGTTGGAAAGATTTCCAAATGCTATAGGAATCTGCCCCTTCAAATCATTGTCATACAAGATCAACTTCTCAAGATTTGACAAAGAGCCCAATGAAGATGGGATAATACCAGAAAAGTTGTTATGGTACAGAAACAAGCTTTGAAGTTGAATGAAGGAATCAAACCATGATGGGATTTCCCCAGTGAAGTTGTTGCCAGCAAAGTTTATATATTTCAACCGAGACAAATTAGCCAACTCCATGGGCAATGAGCCATGAAAATGATTATGTGGGATGTCAAGCTTAGAAAGAAAAGATAGATTCCCCAAGTGAGGTGGGATGGTGCCTATAAGGCCCATGTGAGAAAGATCAAGAGCGGTGACTGTTTGACGATGGGATCCGCAAGTAACACCAATCCAGTTGCAAACGGACGTTGCACTAGTCCAGTTGGTTGCCAAGAGGTTTTGAGGGTCATTGGTGACATGGGCTTTTAGTGCAAGAAGAGCCAATTGGTCAGTGGTGGTGCTGGGTGATTCCGCTGACAAAGTAGTCACAAAGTTGCACACCACCACCACAAATACCTTAAGAGGGAGGAGGAAGCCAATATTTCCCATCAGGGTGTATCTGTGGTTGAGGGAAATTAAGAAAGAAACGACTCAATTAATTGGTTGAATCATTGTGCTGGTAGATGCTCGTTCTTTAAATACTAATACATGCATGTTTCGATATGTATGAATATAAATACATTGAAGCATTCTTTACGAAATTATGCGTTGAGTGCACGGTGAAACACAGTAGAAAGCCCCTAGAAATCAAGAAAAGTAAACAGCAAAATGGACAAATGGCCTTATCAAGAGGAATAGGGTGAAGCCTTCTACTTCACGGTGAAGCATTGCCCTCTAGTTCATATTTGAATTTTCCTTTTGTCGTCCATGATACGGTTGAGCATTCCTTCATTGACTAAAATTATGTGATTACAGTATCAAAGACGAAAATCATGAAGCTACCACGTGTTTTCCTGATATTATATTAATTGGTCCCAACTCGCAAGGCTCCAGCTAGCATTGAATATGATCGATGGGTAGCAGTCTTCACGTAGAGTTACATTCTTTTTTTACACATATTCAGAGATAATTAGCATAAAATATGACAAGTCCTCCATTAAAAAAGTTTTCTGTGAAAGGTTCAGGTAGTAGCTAAGTAACAGAGCACATTATATTTTTCTCTATGTAATAGCTAATAATTTAGCAGCATTAGCATTATCAGTCTCCCTACCGCTGCACAACTTGTCGGGCTTCATAGCTCAATGACAATGTTCCAAAGGTACAGCCCTTCCTCGTGGACTCTTAAAGCAATAGTAACCAAACCGGAT